AGGGTTACTATAAAGGGATTGGTTTGAATGCATTTATCTGCAAATGTTGTAGGATTCTGTTGTTGAGAAGGGGGTATATTATTATTATTATTATGATGATTGATGATTGTGGCAGATTCGTTTTCTACATGGAAGTCTAATCTCCTCCGAAGACCTTTTCTGGGGATCGTCGATAGATGGTTTTTCAATAGGAATCGTTTCCCTCGGATCCTCAAGAGATAGAGGGGGGTCCTGTCTTGAGACATGGAGCGGTCTCTCCTCCTCCTCCTCCTCGAGAAGTCTTGAGAAAGGGAGAGGATTTTCGGTTCCCTTATTCTTGAGGGGTCTTGACAAATTGAGAGGTCCCTCCTCTTCGAAAGAGAGAGAAGTTTTGGTTCCCTTATCCTCGAGGGGTTTTGACAAATCGAGAGGTCCCTCATTTTCGAGGGGTCTTGATAAATGGAGAGGTTTTTTTCATCTTCGAGGGGGTTTTGATAAAGGAAGAGGTCCCTCCTTCTCGAGGGGTCTTGATAAATGGAGAGGTTTTTCATCTTCGAGGAGGTTTGACAATGGGAGAGATTTCTCCTTCTCGAGGGGCTCTCTCTTCCTCAAGGGGTTTTGAGGAAGGGAGAGGTTTTTCATCCTCGACGGGTTTTGACAAACTGAGAGGAATCTGAACAGGCTTCTCCTCATCCCCATCATTATCGAGGAGGATGAGGATAGGCTTTTGGAAAGGTTTTTTCTTTTTCTTCTGAACAGGCTCCTCTTGATGCTCGGGGAGAGGGATGGGGTAGTTGTTCCACCATTCTATTTTTTCTTGCTCGAGGATTTTTTCAAAAGTCGTGGCCTCTCTAATGATGAGACGAAGGAGGAGAGTCCTCGAGAAGAATATAATAGGTATTCTTCCCAGTCTTCTCGATCGAGAGAGGTTCGTGCAAACATTTGTGCAACCATTCACTAAAATGAACGAGAATCCCTTTTGTCTTCTCAAGACGATCCATAATCCTATTCATTTGCGAGACGGTTAGAAAGTGGGACGTGTAAAAATATTTGGCTCGTTTCATTAACAAAATTTGTGCATCCAAAGGTGGAATGTCACGAGCCATCAACACGTTTTCGTTTTCGTCGGATAAAAATTCGTCCCGCATCTTTTGATAACTCCCCACGGTATAATAACCCGCACATTTTGAAAAATCGGAGGCTTTCAGGTAAACGACTCCTTGGATGATATAAAAGGAAAGATCAACATATTTATATTTGAAAGGAATACACGTAGTGAGCTGGGGATGCCTCCTCATGATCCACTTGGACAAAAATACGACTTTGGGGCTCTCCCCTTTTATTTATAGAGAGAAAGAGAGTGTGACCTTCCCTTCCCCCCCCTCCTCCTCTCTCCCTGCTTCCTCTATCTCTGGACGTCCTTGGATTGGAAAGGGTGACTTTGAAAAAAAAAGAAGGTCATGGTTGGATAATTTTTTGTTTATTAAATTATTACTTTCACTTCCTCATTCCCACACACATTCATCTTTTTAAGAAAAGAAAAAGAGGTCATGGAGATAAGATTTCTTGGAAAGAAGAGAGAGAGAAACAAAAAAAAACAAATAAAACGGACGTCATAGAGCCTCTATGTGTGTCTGTGTGTGTCTATATATATAAAAAGGCGAGAGTACTGGGCGAGATCATTTCTTTTCCATTGGGAGCCATGTCGCTATTAGACGTTTTTTCCAACTCAACGGATTTCGAACGGGGAGGATTTGAAGACGTTAAAGCAAATCTCCAACTTGAAAATTTTTTTTGGCGTGTCATTGTGCGACATTTATTCCGCATTTACCACCTCATCAAGCGATCGTTTCTTTCAACCAAGATGTCGAATCCTCCAACCTGCTCGTTCAGAATATATACAGAAATTTATTCGAATCGCAACAAACGAAAGAGGAATCTCCCTTCTCTTGGAATCGGATGGATCGAGCTTTGAGACGGCCCATTCAAACAGACCGGCGATATACAGATCCGCGCACGAGTTTTCGGTGGAAGAATATTTTTCTCACGAAACGATATTTTACGTTTGGAGTGAGAACGACGGCTGAGGACGAAGTTCATATTGTTCAAAACCACAGCCGCTCCTCTCGCCTATTACGAATCATCGTCCCCCAATCTGAAGGAAAGAAGTTTTAAAGTCAGCGACAGGATGAAATATAAGAAATATATTCTAAGACCTTTTCAAAACTATGTCGTTCCCCCGAAAACGCAATATCTCATCGTCACAACCCAGAAGAGTCTCTTTCTCGTCGATCGGTGCTCGTACTCGCTTTGGAAACAATTGAAAGAGGAGATTTCTTTCCAATCGCCGATGATGTTTCAAAAAAAAGAAGAAGAAAACCCTCCGCCACCTTTACCCATCCCTTCCTTAGATGATAAGAGGAGCTGGACCAAACCGTTATTGGCCCGAAACAAAATCGACCCGGCAACGGAATGAAATTGAAGTCATCACAATTGAAGATGAGGAGGAAGAAAAAAATTACCTCTTAAAAAACGGTCGACTTACCGGAACCTACCTGGCGTGCAAGATCCGCTTCAGAATCCAGAAGCTTCTTCTTCTTCTTCTTCTTCTTCCCCGACTTGTTCAAACAGGCAACCTCTTTCGGACTCCTCACAGACAGAACCTCTTCCAGTATCCTCTTCTTCTTCTTCTCTAACCTGTCCCGACATCGTAGAGGTAGAATGTCAGACGGGTCCACAAGCTTCAAAAAGTCCCGACATCGTAGAGGTGTCAGCCGGGTCCACAAGTTCCAACAGGTCCAGAAATCATGGAGGCAGAATCACAGCCGGGTTCACAAGTTCCAACGGGTCCAGAAATCGTAGAGGTAGAATTTCAGCCGGGTAAACAAGTTCCAACGGGTCCAGAAATCATGGAGGTAGAATCGCAGCCGGGTCCAGACATCCTAGATCCCTCCACTCATCCCAAAGAGACTCCAAGTGTTTCAAGACAGCCTTGTGAGGATCCAGCCCTTCCCGTATGGAATGATTATATGGACTTACAAAATTTGGTGCAACAGGAAGGAGAAGAAAATAATCATACGGATGGGTGGGTCAAAGACTGTTTAGATCATTTAACCTCGAATGAAATTGAACTGTTATGGAATTGCATTTCTGAAATCACATCGGAAATGGGATAAAAACCAAAAAAAAAAAAAAAATTTTTTTAATAACAAATTGGAGGAGGGTCATGATGTCAATTAAAAAAAATATTATATAGAGTCCAATCTTGGTGGTTCACTTCAGTTTTCCAGCATGAGGTGATCCACGTTTCCCGAAATATGGATCCCATTCCAAGAGAGATTGTGTAGAGCCTTCACTTCAGTTCTTTTTTTTCCTACCAAGAGGAGAGGGTCCCCAAAGGGCTACCCATGTCCAAAGAGAGAAAGTGTAGAGCGTTCATTTCAGTTTTTTTTCCAAGTTTAGGGGAGGGAGGTCTCAAAATGACACCCCCCCATTTTCAAAGAGAGATGGTGTAGAGCGTTCATTTCTGTTTTTTTCCAAAGTTAGGGAGTTTTCAAATGGCTACCCATTTCAGAGAAAGAGAGAGAAAATGCGTAGAGCGTTCATTTCAGTTTTCCAAGGTTAGGATGGTGGTGGAGAATCCTCCAAAATGGCTACTCATCTCAAAGAGAGAGAGAGAAAGCGTAGAGCGTCCATTTCAGTTTTCCAACATTAGAAGGTCCCAAAATACCTTCTGAATTCAAAGAGAGATCGTGTAGAGCGTTCATTTCCAGTTCTCCAAGATCAGAAGAAGAGGGTCCGCTTTTCCCAAAATGGCTTTCCGCATTCAGAGACAGCGAAGTGCAGACTTCAGTTTTCTCCCTCCCCAAGAATAGAGGGTCCCAAAATGGCTTCCCATTTCAAAGAGAGAGGGAGAGGCGTTCATTTCCATTCTCCAAGATAGGGTCGTCTGCTTTTTCCCAAAATGGCTTCCCAATTCAAGAGAGAGAGAGAGTAAAAGGGTGTGTAGAGCGGTCATGTTCATTCTCCAAGATAGGGTCGTCAGCTTTTTCTCAAAATGGCATCTCCCCATTCAAAAAGAGATCGTAACCAATTTTTTCCAGTTTTTTCCAAGATGGGGGGGAGAAGAAAACCTAGGATGGAATAACACGACACACAGAGAGAAAGAGAAAAAAAACGCCATCTTGTCATTTTCTGATAGGGTACCGGTGTTCGAATACTTTTGTGACCGACTGTACTATGCATCATTTGTAGAAATGAATAATCCTCAGAAAAAGTTTACTTAAAATATTAAGACTTAAAATAATTGTTGCAGTTCATTGAAAATTGTAACAAAATGCATAACCCATACGTAGCGTTATTATAGCTGAAGAGTAAGATTCTTACCTTAATCGAGCAGTGCACTCCAGCTGACCATTAGTGGCTTAGGAAAATGTACCTTTGAGAGAGTAAAATTTTCAATAATCAATAAAATGATTTCGAAAAGATTCTTTTATAGAGCGTAGAATTACACGTTTAGATATCTAAAACGTACACTGGATTTAAACTTCAAAATAAAAAGCACAGTCGTAATTCGATGCCATGAAATTTTATGGAAATTGATGATCTTAGGCCCATCAGCGACTGAACGGTAAAGTAGCTGAACACTGGTAGTTCCTACATGGGTTCGAGTGCAAGCAAACGGACTGTCTGCATGGGCGTTTTCATTGTCTTCTCATTGTATACGAGCCAGTTTTTCTACGAAAGTTCTCCAAGAACGCATCCTTCCCCTTCTGCAGATAGCCCTAGTGTATATTGTCGTAATTAAATAAAACGAAATCAAATGCTCTTAAAATTGCTTTAATATGCTTTATGGAGATTGTAAAAGGCTGAAATATCTTTACGCAGAAAGTAAATTTTATATGCTCTCTCTTTTTTATGCTCACACTAACGCAACACACCCTCAGCCACACACTAAACACAAATACAGAGGAGCAATACACAAATACGTCTTAAAATTATAGCCTAACTTGTCTTTTCAGGTGAACTTACTCAAGAAACACAAAGATTAGTGGCTGAATTGCAACAAAATGAGGCACAAGATGAAGTACAAGAAATTGAAGACATAATCAGCAGCCTTAGGGCTGAAGAACGAAGGGCTATAGCACGTGGAGCAGGAGCTGGATTTGGACAAGGAGCAGGAGGTGAATATGGACGAGGAGCAGGAGGTGGACAAAGAGGGCCGAATGAATTGTATAATTACCAATTCCTCTCTCAAAGCCAGGAATTTGACTTAGGGGCAGATGGTGGCGGCGTAGGAGCAGGAGCTGGTGTTGGCACAGGAGCAGGATTTGGTGCTGGAGCAGGACTTGGTGCAGGAGTAGGCCTTGGTGCTGAAGCAGGTCTTGGTGCTGGAGCTGGACTTGGTGCTGGAGCTGGTCTTGGTCCTGGCGTAGGGGCAGGAGTTGGTGCTAGCGAAGGAACAGGTGCTGGGGCAGGAGTTGGAGCTGGCATAGGTGCAGGAGTTGGTGCTAGCGTAAGAGCAGGTGCTGGAGCAGGAGCAGGAGAGGGTACTGGCTTAGGAGCAGGTTATCCCCTTTACCAAATCCTCGCTCAAAGGCAAGCATATATACAAAGCATTGAAGCAGGTCTTGGCTTAGGAGGAGGTTTTGGTACTGGCGCAGGAGGGGGTGCTGGAGTAGGTATTGGTACTGGCGTAGGAGCAGGTGTTGGTGCTGGAGCAGGGGCTGGTGCTGGAGCAGGTTTTGGCGCTGGAGCAGGATTTGGTGTTGGGGCGGGAGTTGGCGTAGGAGCAGGTGCTGGTGCTGGAGTAGTACTCGGTGCTGGAGCAGGACTTGGTGCTGAAGCAGGTATTGGTGCTGGAGTAGAAGCAGGTCTAGGTGCTGGAGCAGGACTCGGTGCTGGAGCAGGACTTGGAGCTGGAGCAGGACTTTGTGCTGGGGCAGGTCTTGGCGCTAGCTTAGGAGCAAGTGTTGGTACTGCAGCAGGTCTTGGGGCTGAGCAGGACTCGGTGCTGGAGCAGGACTTGGAGCCGCAGCGGGTCTTGATGCTGGAGCTCATTTTTCCAATACCTTGCTCGACGCCTGGGATATAAATTAGGAGGTTTTCGTGCCGGCTTAGGAGGCGGAGCTGGTGCTGGAGTAGTAGCAGGTGTTGGTGCCGGAGCAGGAGTTGGCGCTGGAGCAGGCCTGGGTGCTGGAGCAGGTCTTGGTGCTGGAGCAGGTCTCGGTGCTGGAGCCGGACTTGGTGCTGGAGCAGGTCTTAACGCTGGAGCAGGACTTGACTTAGGTGCAGGTCTTGGGGCTGGCTTAGGAGCAGGTCTTGGTGCTGGAGCAGGGCTTTGTGCTGTAGCAGGTCTTGGTGTTGGAGCAGGTCTTCGCGCTGGAGCAGGACTTGGCTTAGGGGCAGGTCTTGGTGCTGGCTTAGGAGCAGGTCTTGGTGCTGGAGCAGGTCTTAGTGCTGGGGCAGGACTTGGTGCTGGAGCAGAACTTGGTGCTGGAGCAGGTCTTGGTGCTGGCTTAGGAGCAGGTCTTGGTTTAGGTGTAGGAGCAGGAGTTGGTGCTGGAGCAGGACTTGGTGCTGAGCAGGTCTGGTGCTGGCTTAGAGCAGTCTTGGTGCTGGTTAGGAGAAGGTCTTGGTGTTGGTGTAGGAGCAGGAGTTGGTGCTAGCGAAGGAACAGGTGCTGGGGCAGGAGTTGGAGCTGGCATAGGTGCAGGAGTTGGTGCTAGCGTAAGAGCAGGTGCTGAGCAGGAGCAGGAGAGGGTACTGCTTAGGAGCAGGTTATCCCCTTTACCAAATCCTCGCTCAAAGGCAAGCATATATACAAAGCATTGAAGCAGGTCTTGGCTTAGGAGGAGGTTTGGTACTGGCGCAGGAGGGGGTGCTGGAGTAGGTATTGGTACTGGCGTAGGAGCAGGTGTTGGTGCTGGAGCAGGGGCTGGTGCTGGAGCAGGTTTTGCGCTGGAGCAGGATTTGGTGTTGGGGCGGGAGTTGGCGTAGGAGCAGGTGCGGTGCTGGAGTAGTACTGGTGCTGGAGGGACTTGGTGCTGAAGCAGGTATTGGTGCTGGAGTAGAAGCAGGTCTAGGTGCTGGAGCAGGACTCGGTGCTGGAGCAGGACTTGGAGCTGGAGCAGGACTTTGTGCTGGGGCAGGTCTTGGCGCTAGCTTAGGAGCAAGTGTTGGTACTGCAGCAGGTCTTGGGGCTGAGCAGGACTCGGTGCTGGAGCAGGACTGGAGCCGCAGCGGTCTTGATGCTGGAGCTCATTTTTCCAATACCTTGCTCGACGCCTGGGATATAAATTAGGAGGTTTTCGTGCCGGCTTAGGAGGCGGAGCTGGTGCTGGAGTAGTAGCAGGTGTTGGTGCCGGAGCAGGAGTTGGCGCTGGAGCAGGCTGGGTGCTGGGAGCAGGTCTTGGTGCTGGAGCAGGTCTCGGTGCTGGAGCCGGACTTGGTGCTGGAGCAGGTCTTAACGCTGGAGCAGGACTTGGCTTAGGTGCAGGTCTTGGGGCTGGCTTAGGAGCAGGTCTTGGTGCTGGAGCAGGCTTTGTGCTGTAGCAGGTCTTGGTGTGGGAGGCAGGTCTTCGCGCTGGAGCAGGACTTGGCTTAGGGGCAGGTCTTGGTGCTGGCTTAGGAGCAGGTCTTGGTGCTGGAGCAGGTCTTAGTGCTGGGGCAGGACTTGGTGCTGGAGCAGAACTTGGTGCTGGAGCAGGTCTTGGTGCTGGCTTAGGAGCAGGTCTTGGTTTAGGTGTAGGAGCAGGAGTTGGTGCTGGAGCAGGACTTGGTGCTGGAGCAGGTCTTGGTGCTGGCTTAGGAGCAGGTCTTGGTGCTGGCTTAGGAGAAGGTCTTGGTGTTGGTGTAGGAGCAGGAGTTGGTGCTGGAGCAGAAGCTGATGCTCGAGCAGGTCTTGGTGCCGGAACAGGACTTGGTGCTGGAGCAGGTCTTGGCGCTGTTTTAGGAGCAGGTCTTGGTGCAGGAGCAGGAATTGGTGCTGGAGCAGGTCTTGGGGCTGGAGAAGGTCTTGGTGCTGGAGTAGGACTTGGTGCTGGAGCTGGTCTTGGGGTTGGCTTAGGAGCAGGTCTTGGTGCTGGCTTAGAAGCAGGTGCTGGAGTAGGAGCAGCTGTTGGTGCTGCAGCAGGAGTTGACAGTGCCTTAGGTGCAGGATTTGGTGCTGTCGTAGGAGCAGGAGTTGGTGCTGGCGTAGGGGCAGATGTTAGTGCTGGTGCTGATATAGGAACAGGTTTTGGTGCTGGCATAGGAGCAGGTGTTGGTGCTGGCCTAGGAGCTGGAGCAGGAATTGATACCGACATAGAAGTAGAAGTTGATGCTGGTGTATGAACCGGGGTTGGTGCTGGCATAGAAGCAGGAACAGGAGCAGGAATTGGGGCTAGTGTAGGAGCAGTTGTTGGTGCTGGCGTAGGAGCAGGAGTTGGCGCTGGTGTAGTAACGGGAGTTGGAGCTGGAATAGATGTAGGAGCTGATGCTGGAGCAGGAATTGTTGCCGGCGTAGGAGCTGGAGATGGTATTGGGGCGGTCGTGGGAGAAGGAGATGGTAGCATCTTAGCAAGAAAGTTGATGGCAGCATCAGAAACTTATTGCAGACAGCTGATAGCAGCAGGAGTTTTTGCTGGTGTAGGAGCAGGAGTTGATGCTGGAATAGGCGTAGGAGTGGGAGATGGAATTGGTGTTGGAGTGGGAGCAGGAGTTGGCAGCATCTTAACTAGAAAGTTGTTGGCAGCCTCAGAAACTTATTGCAGTCAGTTTATAGGAGCAGATGTAGGAGCAGGAGTTGGTGCTGCAATAGACGTAGGAGCTACTGCTGGAGTAGGAGCCGGAGATGGAATTAGTGCTGGCGTGCGAGCAGGAGATGGTAGCATCTTAGCTAAAAAGTTGCTGGCAGCATCAGAAACTTATTGCAGGCAGTTGATAGGAGCAGGAATTTTCGCTGGAATAGGCGTAGGAGCTGGAGATGGAATTGGTGCGGGATTGGGAGCAGAAGATGGCAGCGTCTTAGCTAGACAGTTGCTGGCAGCATCAGAAACTTATTGCAGTATGATAGGAGCAGGAGTTGGTACTGGATTAGACGTAGGAGCTGCTCCTGGAGCAGGAATTGGTGAGGGCGTGGGACCAGAAGATGTCAGCATGTTAGCTAGAAAGTTGCTGACAGCATCAGAAACGTATTGCAGTGTGATAGGAGCAGGAGTTGCCGCTGGTTTAGGAGCAGGAGTTGGTTTAGGAATAGACATAGGAGCTGCTGCTGGAGCAGGAATTGGTGCCGGCGTAGGAGACGGAGATGAAATTGCTGCTGACGTGGGAGCAGGAGATGCGGTATCTTAGCTAGACAGTTGCTGGCAGCATCAGAAACTTATTGCAGTGTGATAGGAGCAGGAGTTGTCGCTGACGTAGGAGCAGGAGTTGCCGCTGGTGTAGGAGCGGGAATTGGTGCTGGATTAGGCGTAGGAACTGCTGCTGGAGCAGGAATTGTTGCTGGCGTAGGAGCCGGAGATGATATTGGTGCTGGCGTAGGAGCCGGAGATGATATTGGTGCTGGCGTGGGAGCAGGAGATGGCAGTATCTTAGCTACAAAGTGGCTGGCAGCATCAGAAATTTATTGCAGACAGTTGATAGGAGCAGGAGTTTTCGCTGGTGTAGGAGCAGGAGTTGGTGCTGGAATAGGCGTAGCAGCCGGGGATGGAAATGGTGCAGGAGTGGGAGCAGGAGATGGCAGCATTTTAGCTAGAAAGTTGTTGGCAGCATCAGAAACGTATTGCAGTCAGTTCATAGCAGCAGGAGTTGGAGCTGGAATAGATGTAGGAGCTGATGCTGGAGCAGGAATTGGTGCTGGCGTAGGAGCCGGAGATTTAATTGGTGCTGCCACGGAAGAAGGAGATGGCAGCATCTTAGCTAGAAAGATGCTGGCAGCATCAGAAACTTATTGCAGACAGTTGCTAGGAGCAGATGTCGGCGCTGGCATAGGAGCAGGTGTGGCCGCTGGTGTAGGAGTAGGAGTTGGTTCTGGAATAGACACAGGAGCTGCTGCTGGAGCAGGAATAGGTGCTAACGTGGGAGCAGCAGATGGCAGCATCTTAGCTAGACAATTGCTGGCAGCATCAGAAACTTATTGCAATCTTATAGGAGCAGGAGTTAGCGCTGACGTAGAAGCAGGAGTTGGTGCTGGAATAGGCGTATGAACTGCAGCTGGAGCAGAAATTGCTGATAGTTGATAGGAAATTTGTAAAAGGACTTGCATGTCTCTTATGTTATAATATTACGATTGTTCTTGTATAAATTTGACAATGTTTTTTTTATTATTATTTTTATTTTTTTATTCTGATTTTAGATAGCATTTCAGTGTTCAATTTCGTTCTTTTAAATTTAGAAATGCTCATTAGTCTAGAATATGTTGCTATTTTCCTATAGTCTAAATTTTATTTCTTGCATTTGATACAGTGTTTTATATTTTACTATACAAATAAAACTGTTTCAAATGCACAATGTTTTGTGAATTATTCATAAAGTAAAATTAATCATACACATGACTCTGCTTTTTCTTATTTTTATACTAACATAATATTATTTACATTTTTAGTTTAAAATGATAATCATTTAAACAATAATATCCGATTATAGCCGATTCAAAAACTACCAAAAGTGAAGTTGAAGGTCTAAAAAAAATGCTAGTTCTACGGTTTTCGTCTGCTTTCTTTCTGTTGCCAAAGCTCTCAAAATCAATAACTATTTTCCTCTTCTTTTTTTCTTTTTGTTTTACCCGAGTAGTTCCCAACAAATTTAAATTCATATAATCGAACATTTTAATTTTATCATTTTTACAAATTACCTTGTTGCTAGGTAACGATACTGTTGTGGCTTGAACTTATAAAGAAACTTTAAATACTGATTAATATCATTTTATTTAAGACACAATAAGACGTCGAATAAATACTAATTCAGAAGTCAAACAACAAAAATCAGCGTTATATTTTCAAAATTTTTACAGGACTAGTTTCGATGGTTTTACCGAAGCACCATCCTCAGCTTCAAAACCGCAAATGAACAAGATAGGAAATAATGATTAGATAAGATAAGAAAGCCTGGACAAGAATAAGCAAGTGGCGCCATCTGTTGTAGAAACCAGAGCTAAAACATAATTTCTTTAAAGGCCGAAGGCAAAGATGGATTGGAATTAGGATCGTTAACTAGAACAGAAAAATTTTTTGAATGTGAAATGCATCTAGAAAATCCAGTTCTCCAATGGAAGATGTTTTTTGAATAATTTTGGCAGCAGAAAAATTGAAAGTGTGATTTTCGGACCAACAATGTTGAGCAACAGAAGACTTCTGTGTTTCCTTTTTTCTAACATATGCCTCATGTTCCTTGACGCGAAATTTTAAGGCTCTCCTAGTTTGGCCACTGTAAGTCAAACCACACTGGCAAGGAATCTTATAAATACCCCAAGAATTCATATCCGGAATGGGGTCCTTGAGTATGGAACTCGGAATTTTATTGATGGGAGAATAAACAACCCGAAAGTTAAATTTCTGCAAAATATGTGCAACTTTATAGCTAATTGATGGAAAGAAGGGAATGACAACAGAATTTTTATAATTTCCTAAAACAAGAGTGTGCCTTTTAGTGTGTTGAGATGAGAATTTTTAAACTGCTTGATTAATAATGTTGGGGGAAAAACCCCTGTCAATAGCTATTGCTTTTAAATAATTTAGTTCTTCATCAAGGGCTAGTTTGGAGGAGCAAACTTGAAGAGCACGGAAAACATAGGAATAAAATGAAGCTCATTTTTGTTTAGTCGGATGACATGATTTAAAGTGTGGTGGAAGGCAAACCGATGAAGGTTTACGGTAAACCGTAGTACTGAAGTTGGATGTGTTACGTGTGACCAGAATGTCGAGAAACGGAAGAGAATTGCAAGTCTCAAGTTCAAAAGTGAACTGAATAGCAGGATCAATAGAATTCATTGTTCAAAGAACTTTAATTAAATCATCTTTATTACCTTCAAACAGGGTAAAAGTATCGTCTACGTAGCGGAACCATGGCAGGAAGTTTAAAGTTTCAAACAATTTTGATTCATAATAATGCATGTAGATATCAGCCAAGATGGAACTGAGGGGGCTTCCCATGGCTAATCCCTCAGTTTGCTTGTAATATTTATTTTGGAAAACAAAATGTGTTTGTTTCAAACAGAGTTGAATGAGAGAAATTAGCTCATCAATTTCGATGCAAGAGAAATGAAATTCGTGATGTCTGGTTTCTAGACCTCTTAATGCACTCTCCACTGGAACACTAATGAATAATGATTTTACATCAAAAGAAACCATGAGTAAATTTCTAGGAGAAATGTTTTTAACCTTTTTTACAAACTCTATTGAATTTTTTATGGTGTAAATGTTATTGTCTAATAGAGTTGAAAATCTGGAAACTAAATATTTAGCTAAGGGATACGAGGCAGTACCTAAATTTGATACAATAGGGCGGAAAGGAATACCACTTTTATGAATTTTGTGAAGAGCATATAATCTGGCACAATTCGCAACAATGGAAACGAGTTTAGTGTAAAATTTGAAATAGTGGTACCAAGGGGTTTTTACGATATTATTCGTCTCACTCGTTCCGAAAAGACTTTTAATTCCGAAATTTCATTATCTCATTATTTTTCGAGGGCCATCCAGGAAGTAGATTACGTTTCCGTCTGTGTCCGCTAGGGGCGGGGCTAGCGCGGCCATCTTGGGGTCAGAGCGTTGCGCAGCTCAGTCTGCATCTAGCCGTGCTAGTGAGAGGTTCGTGCTGTGCTCCGTTCAGATACTGTGACGGTTT